CCTTACCTACTACAAAATGGTGGTACACTTAATAATTACTTGGACACAAACCCACTAACATGCATATCTCTACAAATAATTGCAATTCCTGCCGTATCCACAGCAACAGCGATAAAAACTTGTTTTGTTATTTTTTGTTGACAGTGACAAGAATATCATTACGAAGGCAAACATCACTTTACAGTTAAAATATTCTCATTTAGTTTTCGGTTTTAGTGCTAGATACTGCTTGAACTATTTTTAAAATGGTCAATTCTCTTCCATTGGAAGAAAAAATCGAAGCAATTTTTATTTATGGTGCGACGCGTAACTTTCACGAGACCGAGGATTTTTAATGATCGTTTCCCGAATCGTCCTATCTGTAGAAACATTAAGGGAACCTGTGTCTAAATTTACACCTACTGGTAGTAAACAACAAAAAGCCCCCAGATCATCCGACCATCCCGGAAGAAAAGCAAGTTCAAATAATGGGGAGATCATAGTAATCTCCCAACAGTCTACTTTCTCCATCGCGAATGTATGTGAGGTTTGTCCTTCTACTGTATGGAGACTTTTGAAAAAGAATAAGTATCACCCATACAAAATTCAAATGGTACATCAATTAACTGAAGATGACCTGATCGAAGAAGAGAATTCTGCGAGACTATGAGGAAAACCATTGCACGGCATCCTACTATATCCAAATATTTTTTTTAGCGATGAATGTACATTTTTCTCAACGGTAATGTGCATAGACAAAATTGTCGTTATTGGAGTGACACCAATCCTCACGTCTTCCGGGAAACTCATACTCAATATCCACAAAAAATTAACGTTTGGGCTGGGATATTGGGAAATCATATTGTGGGGCCTCTATTCATCGAACAAACTTTAACCGGGGAACTGTATTTGGATATGCTGGAAAATACTATTGACCCTCTAATCACCGAAATCGTCGAAGCGAATCCTAATGAATTCGATACTGATATTGTATTCCAGCAAGATGGTGCTCCACCACACTACTACAGACAAGTTAGGAATTATTTAGATAACAATTTCCCCGGTCGTTGGATTGGCCGTCGAGGTCTGTGGAATGGCCAGCTTCGCTCGCCAGATTGACACCTTTAGCTCTTTTTTATGGGACTATTTGAAGCAAAAGGTGTACGAAACTGAACCTTCTTCAATATTGGATATCGGCTGAGAATAACAAATATTTGTAGAAATATCGATATTACTATGTTTGAAAATGTTCGTCGCGAAATTACGGACCGGCTGTTCTTGTGTCAGGAGGTTTCAAGGCAACCATTCCAGCGTCTTTAAGCTGAACTCAACGTATTTATTCGAATTATCAAAGTTAAATTGTCAATTGTATCAAGGTGATTATTAAAGTTACCACCATTTTGTAGTAGGTTAAGGATGTGTCACAAGACTCCCATTTTCATATAATTTTTTTCCAAGATGGCGCCAAGCGGCCACCTTGACATTTTCATCTGTCAATTTTACTCTAAAATATGGTCTCCACGCATCAATTTCATTACCTCAGTTTTAATTTTTGAATTGGTCCGTTCAAAAATCAAAGGGAGGGGAACATACAGAAAAGCACTGTATACTATTTCTATTGGAATAATAGGTATCAGTTGGAAGAAATACTTTCTATCGAAATTTTAATTTTTACATAACTTACTACGTTTCCTTTTGTTACAGCCCTTTAGACCGAGACCAGCCCAACGGAAGGCCACAGTGGAGGTTCACCGTGTTCGCCCAAGACGAAGGTGGTGAAGGACTTGTAGCTACGCGGACGTCCAGGTGAACCTGAAGGACATCAACGACAACGCGCCTATCTTCCCCCAAGGTGTCTACTTGGAAATGTCACCGAAAACCGGCACTGCGGGAATGGTTGTTATGACAATGACTGCGATTCGACTATGATGACCCTTCGGAAGGTAATTCATGATGATATAATTTTCTAGTATACAGAGTGTTTCCTAAATAAATATCAATATTCAAGGGACGGATTTTATTTTGAGAACAAAACGTCTTAATATTTGAGATACTGGGTAATATAGTTTTTAAAAATGAATCAAGTATTATTAATATCTGTAAATATCATTAGGCATTAAGCATTCTGGGTGCTTCTTTTAATTCTTTTGAGAAAAAGTATATTCTGTGTCTATCCTGCATGATCCAAAGTTGGATACTCTATTGGCAAATGTGACTGACTTACAGGCTGTCAAAGGGAGTGTTTTTTCGGAAAACATCCCGCAGCTATTACGTGCGGAGGTAAACCGCCCTTCGCAAAAAGCATTCAGAATACTAAAATATGCAGGGTGTTTGAAACATGCATGTTTATGTTGTCACGTAGTTATAAACCAGCCTGTAGTCCTGTAGAAGGACCATATTTCCAAGTAAGGGACGTATTATACACTGCCACGCAAAATTAACCGGACAAACAAAATTTTGTTCAAGTTAAATTTTAAGTAACTTTTTAACCTTTGCATCAATTTCGTTAGTTTTTTGTCAAGTTGTAGATAATTTTATTGTCATCATTATCGGCTGTCGATCTTGCCAAAAAAATGTGTGTTGTTATACTAAAAGGTGCATTTTGCCCTAAATTTCTGAACACCCTGGAAACCCTGGATTACCGAATAATGTATTTTTGTATGAGAGTTTTAAGCCTCGACTCTTCTCAACAGTTCTTTTTTTGATTCATGTCAATATCTCAATTATTCAAGAATATATGCTGAGTTGAAGAAAATCATGTGAATCATAGCCATAAACAAGGAATTGCTTCAGCAGGCTTTGTCGGGCCAGAAATCGTTTCAAGTAGGCTGTATCTGTTAGCATTTTTATGGCATGTCAAAAAGATTCTTGTCAATTAATACTCAACAAAAATGACACCGGAACAAGTAGCGCAAGCTGTAGCTTTACAAGATGATGGTAATCGTATTCGGTATACCGCTTGCCGTTCCATGCAGGACGGTATTCGATGCTATACAAAGACTTAGAGAAACTGGTTCTTACTCAAGAAGACATGGGCAGGGAAGAGGGAAAGCAACAAACGGAGTTGAAGATCGGTCGTTAATTTTTCGTGACAGTGTAGTTACCAAGAGTTTTTGTAACTATTCTCTTTACTTCCTACTCCACTGATGGGGAAGAATTTCAAACCACAAAAAACCATTTCACTCATTTCCGATGGTTGGTCAGTGTATCTGTCTGTACGAAGTCTAATGTCACCACTGGCGTATTGTAATCGGAAAAAGTTCGCAAATGGGTAATTTTGTTTTTTGGATGTTATATCATACGAGCATCTGGAAAAAAAACCTTGTGACTCATTTCCGTCGGTCTGTCTGCCTGTCGATCGGTCTGTCGACTAATCCCTTGAAACAGCTGTGGAGGTTTTGGAAATCGATCAAGTGGCAACGGAGAAAAGCAATAAAAAGAAAAATCGATCAAACCTCGTTTTTTGACGTTTAGAGGAGGACCTTGATCATTTTCATAATTTTTTTTGCCGTGATTAAAAACTAGATGTTGAGGTCTGCAGTGGTAATTGTGTCCGGTAACTATACGCGTCTATTAGACAAATTTCATACATTACTTTTACATTTGCTCTAAAAGCTTGATAGATGATTGAGTTATGTTTTTGATATACGCGTGCTGGACAACTCGACGAGCGTACATCTGTCGGCTTAGGATGTGGAGGAATAACTGAATGATGATGCATCTATTCGTGCATGCAACCGCGTGCTGCGTTGCAACGTTTATAGGTGTTCGGTACTGTCGGTAGGCCGGTAGGCGAGATAGCAAAGTTGTAAAATCCGTGGAGCCTGTTTGACTGACATGATCCAGTTTGTTATAAATGTTTGTAGCCAAATGGAGCTAACTTTTGCCGAATACAGTGGAACCCCGATAATCCGGCCCCTGTCTAATCTGGCGCCCCCTGTAATCCGACATGTCTTTGAATATGTATTTCATACGTATTCGACAATCTTCGCTAATGTAGATCACGCAGGTTTGAACAGGTTACAACTTGTACGCGCCACCGCTATCGTGCTCAACGCGTAAGCATTGTTTTACTTAGTTTGAATTTGACTACTGGTGATAGCGGTACGGCCTAGCGTGCGTTCATTGTTTACTATTTATTCATTGTGTATTAAGTATAGTACCTAGTAATGTCATCACAAGTCAGAAGCGAAAGCACAAAACATTGACGATCAAAGAAAAATGTGATATTTTAGACCGCTTAAATCGCAATGAAACTTCAGTAGTTTAGCAAGTGAATACGGCGTAGGCCGATCTACAATTTATGACATTAAAAGAAACCACGAGAAGATCAAGAAGTTCGTGTCAACTACTGACTGCGGGTCAGGCAAGAGACAGACACTCAAGAAAGCTGAACATCCAGAAGTGGAAGAAGCTTTGTACATGTGGTTTCTTCAGGAAAGAAATAGGCATGCACCAATTTCAGGACCCATGTTGGCCATGAAAGCTAAGCTTTTTATAAGGAAATAACAAAAAAAGATGATTTTGTGGCCAGCTAAGGATGGCTAGAACGTTTTAAAAGTCGTCATGGCATACGTTTAATGACTATTATAGGAGGGAAACTTTCTAACGATGCCACCTGCATAGAGCCCTTTAAATTAAGATTTTTGCAAAAGGTGAGCGATTTAAATCTCGACCCGTCACAGGTGTACAATGCAGACGAATCAGGGCTTTTTTGGCGTGTGATGCTTAACAAGACTTTCGTTTCTTGTAACGAAAAATCCATACCTGGACGAAAAGTAAGTAAAGCGCGTGTAACCATACTACCATGTGCTAACGCTGCGGGCACACACGCGCTTAACATGATGGTCATTGGGAAATCTAATAAACCACAGCCATTCAAAAACATTGATTTATCTGTTACACTATTACGGACAAAAAAGTGCATGGATGACAAAAGACCTTTTCAAAATGTGGTTTGATGAATGCTTCGTACCTGAAGTTAGAAAATGGTTAAAATATCATAATTTTCCTCAAAAAGCGCTGTTGCTTCTTGGTAACGCTCCCAGTCGTCCGTCTGAAGAAGAACTAACAACTGAGGATAAATGCATCACTGCGATGTTTTCTTCCGTCAAATTGCACTGCACTGATTCAACCAATGGACCAGAATATCATTCAGTTTGTCAAGCAAGACTATAAGAAAAACCTACTTCTGAGAGCCGTATCAAAAGACCAACCAATAGAAAAAATTTTAAAAGAATTTAATATGAAAGACTTGGTTCTTGCTCTTTGTCAGTCATGGAATGCGTTACCGTCATTAACTATTAAATCGTCTTAGAAGAAGTTATGGCCAGATATAGTCACCACTCCTAGCAACGTTCCACAAATCAGTGTAACTTCGAAAGTTATAGAACAAGTCGCTACTGAAACACAGATAAGTCCGGAAGATTTGGAAATCTGGTGCCGTGGAATGGATAAAGAGGAAAATGTTTTTCATGAAATGTCTGACGAAGAGATTATAAAAGAGGTTTCTAATTATACAACAAACAATCAGGAAAATAACGACGACGTGATTGCAACTGCTCCACAAGTCGCAGCACAAGATGCAATTAACGCCTTTGAGCTAGGTTTAGAATGGGCTGAAGAGAATGGTACATCCTAAAACGAACTTTTGCTTTTGAGAAGACTGAGGGACAAAGCTCTGATCTCGCGTTATAACAACCTTAAACAAAAAAAAATTGATGAATATTTCCAAGCTTCATAATTTGATAAATTCATTAATGAATTTGATTAATAATTCTAATTTTGGTACATATGTATGTGCATTTATGATTAATTTTATAACAAAACGTAAGCTCTCTATTGTTATTTAATTTACTAAATTCGACATACATAAACTATGTATGATTTGTACTTCAAAGTACATACATATACATAACATATATAATCTTACCATTGGATTGTAATTTGTCGGTACTCTTTTGTAAAAAATTCCGGACTATAGGGGGTCTTAGGCAGTGCTCTATAATCCGACAAATTCGATAGTCCGACACTGCCCTGCATAATGTTTGTCGGATTACCAGAGGTCCACTGTATTATCCATTATGAATTGATGACAGCGTTTCGTAGCAAGTGCAGGTTCAACCTGCTTAATGCCATTCTTAGATATTTTTCAGTACAACGGTGCTATCTACCGATTACAGACTAAAAACTCAGCCTGCGTATAAACTAAAACTGTCCAATTATCTGTCTTCATACCTTTTGTTTGTTTGAAGGCACGAACGCTCGTTTGGTGTACTCGATTGAGAAGAACGTGATTGAAGAGGAAACCGGCTCGCCTATTTTCGAAATCGAGTCCGAAACAGGAGTCATCAAAACGGCCGTGTGCTGCCTGGACCGCGAAAGAACTCCCGACTACTCGATACAGGTGGTTGCTATGGATGGCGGGGGGCTGAAAGGCACAGGGACGGCTTCGATAAGAGTCAAGGACATCAACGATATGCCGCCGCAGTTCACTAAGGGTGAGTTTACAATTTTTTTTGTTCAAAGTTATCGTCAACTTTGACCTTGATAATAACAGGGGGATCAATGTCATATCGTGCTGGACCTAATTTACTTGACCTTGATAGCCTTGCGTATGAGCTTGAATTTCAACGTTATCTCAATGACAACCTTGACTCCGTTAATAACAGGAGATTATGATCTTGAATATGACCTTGAACAGCAATGTTACCTCGAGGTCGATGACAACGGAGGGTTAATGTCACCCCAGGCTAGACCCAACTTACATGTCAAAGATTATGACTATCTTAAATCACCTTGAATTTAGATTAAGGTAAGTCATGGGATTAATAATCTTGGATGACCTAGAATTTAAATTTGATCTTTGAAACCATATCGATGACAAATTATAATGTTTCTTATCTAATCTCAGCAATAAGAAAGGACTCATCGCATATGATCTTTATGTGCTACATAATAGGCCCTTTGGTAATTTGGAAGACATTTAGTTTGGGCGAACGTTAAACGAGAAAGAAGAGCATGCTAATCTGCATCGATTCACACATGCACCTTTTGAATGACCCTGAATATGGAACATCAGTGTTGCCTCAAGGTCAACCTCTATCAACAGATAATAAGAAGGGATTAGTAATACTGGATGGCATTGAATTAGAATTTGATCATTAAGACCGTATCAAAGACAAATTATACTGTACCCTAGGTCTGCTTGAAATAATTAGCAGAATAGTTTTATTGGATCTGATACTACAATAGCACTTTTAATGGTAAATGTTATAATATAGGTATTATATAAATAATTTACACAAATTTCTTTATCCCTTCAAGATTGAACTCAATGATAGCGTTTCATACCGACAACCAATGTAAAGTCACTTAAGAAACTAACAACTGGATTTGTGATAATTCCTATTATAATGATCAGTAGAACGTTGAAATACCTACTCAAATGGACTCTTTATGACTGATGTTTATGAATTACCTCAAGATTAAGGATCCTGAAAGCTAGAGAATGTTAATGTTGGGGAACACTTGAGTTTTGACAGTTCTTTATCGTAATCTGATATCATTATTGGGTTTGACATGACCTTTAACGACATTTTAACTCAAACCATGAATTAGTTTGCTCTCCATATTTCCGATTCCTAACGTCGAACAGTGTACGTTTGGAACTCACCTTGGGTAAATCTAAATGATCATTAAGGGTCTGCTGTAGTAAAACCAAAGCTAAAAGGTTTGGGATTACCCAATAGGTTATGAGTAGCTTTTTTAGCAGCAACAAAAATTTTAGGACCCCTTCGGCTGGGGCAAGCCTTTTGCCGAGACTGTCCCTGGTTCCCTTATTGCAAAAGGCACCGCATTACTGAGAAAGTTGGAAATACCTCCCAAAAAAGCAGAATATGAAAGGTTTTTATGCCAGTGGCTTTACCTCTGTTGAGTGTACTTCGAATGACCTCCACTACTAAATTACGGTCAACCTTTAGATACAGCATAATTGACAGTGTTAAACCCCTCAACTATTAGAAGGGAAGATCAAAATTACTTGACCTTGGTCATGACTTCGGATGACCTGCACCAGTAAATCGAGGTCAATCATTAGAAATAACTCAATTGACAATTTTGAATTTAACTTGGCTTTTGTTCATGACCAAATCATAAAGACTCCTATATCCTATAATCAACGGAAACTTCATGCATAAGTGAAACACTCAGGGTCATCAAAGCAAGAGTTGTTTAGTAATTTAGAAAATATCATTGTTATGTAACAATAATATTTCTTTTAGATGAATGGTTTACCGAAGTGGATGAAACAGATGGCACTTCGTTACCAGAAATGCCTATCTTGACGGTTACCGTACATGATGAAGACGAAACCAACAAGTTCCAGTACAAAGTGATAGAAAACAGCGGATACGGGGCTGACAAGTTCACTATGGTCCGAAACAATGATGGAACCGGATCATTGAAGATCGTTCAACCATTGGACTATGAAGATCTGTTGCAGAGTAACGGATTTAGGTTCAGGATACAGGTGAGAATTATCTCTATAATTTTGTTTAGCTGCTTCAGCAAGCAAATGACTTTTGCGGACAATAATACCAATTTCGGTCACTCCATATCTCTGTATGTACTTCTATAACTTGGTTCCTATACTATTCAGATACTAATTTGATCAGTCTATTTGACATTTCACGCATAACATACTCTTGGTGGATATTGAAACTTCAAAGATAAACAAAAGCTGTGATCAGTTTGGGAAGTTACTTTTGGTGTGTGGAGATGACCTTTTCATCATGAATCAGCATTGCAAATTTAGCTATTTATTAAGATAAGGTTACCGCATGGCATTCTGTCCAATAACCCCAAATAACGGCACACTCTCTACAACATTGTATTTGAAACCTTTGTTCACCTTTTGTTCAAGCATTCATTTCTTGGAAAGGAGCATTTAGATTAGAGACTTGTGTTGTTCGGTGGCAGCTGCAAAAACTATGAACTTTACTGATTCAAGTAATTCTTCTTTTCAGGTGAACGACAAAGGTGAAGATAACGACAACGACAAATACCACGTAGCTTACTCATGGGTGGTGGTTAAACTTCGCGATATCAACGACAACAAACCCCAGTTTGAACGGCCCAACATTGAAGTGTCCGTGTTTGAGAACGCAGAAGTGGGGAAAAGTCTGGAAACGTTCAAGGCTACGGATCCGGATCAAGGAGGCAAAAGCAAGGTGTCTTATGCTATCGACAGGACGTCGGACAGGAAGAGGCAGTTCTCTATCAATCAGGAGGGCACGGTGAGTGATGAATTTTCCTTATAAAGTGGGTCATTTAAGAAATATTCTCAGCAAAATGGGAATTTTTTTAGAGTAAAGAATGATGAAGATGAAGATGAAGAATTAAAAGTGTGAGGCCCTTTTGACATATTCTAGCCGTACTTATTTCGAGAGATGAATTGCTAAGCTACAATATGATACGTGACACCGTAGTTTCTATGGTTAATGTTTTTCGGAATTGTTCTGCTGTATTAGTTTTTTTTTATTTTTGCTAAATGGATTTATCGAGGTGGCTAATATGTAATGAGCGCTTCAGTTTTTGATTATCCAGAGAACCTGTGTAGAGTGTATGACGTTCTATGGTGGAGGTATTTAAGGAGTCAGTGGCGATCATGCACGTCAGTTGTACTTCAGTTATTATTCAGTAAAGAACAACCAAAAAAATTAACGATATGACTACCAATCTGTGTATTCTGCTACACTTGACATATGCCGAAGGGTAACTCATAACGTAGTCTTCGAGACAACAGTAAAGCGGTGGTTCCAACGATTCCGCAGTGGTGACTACTCAATTATAGATTAACCAAGGTTTGAGCATCCAGTGAAAACGGATATAAATAAACTAAAACCGTTCATTGAAGGAGATTCTTGAAATAGTTCGAGTGATTTGGTTGCAGAGCTCGGGTGCTCTCACAGCCTGATAGAAATTTGCATGTTTCAGGGAATACTTACGTTTAGTCTTTGGGAACCCCACCAGTTGAGCAAAGATCAACTCGAGCAGATACTTGTGGCGTCCTTTACAGTTTCGACGTATATTTAACTTGCAAGACCATCTCGTTACTGGAGACGGAAGATGGCATATCTATATTAAACATACACGTAAGCATCAGTGGCTGGGCAGATCTACACCAGAAGGGGATCTTAATTCTCGAACGCTTATGCTCTCTGTGTGTGGTAGGATGTAATGAAATAATATACCGGAAAATGCTTCCTACTATAACCACAATTAGTGCGACACCGTACTGAGAATCTGAAGTTCGAAATCTGTTGAAAGCGTCCCCAGAGCTCTCCTACATGTCGCCGCCGCGCGATTTGCGATGTCCTGACTTCGGTCTACCATACTAACCGAGTCGAGCTTCGTACATCCAAAACTGGCCGATACAACCACTTTTTTGTCCCAAGGGTGTCGAAAATGTGGAACAATCTACAAGAGAAAGCTTTTTCCAGTTCTTCTAGGTTAGGTTAGGTTTCTTGTGAGTGCATAAATAACGATGCTCCACTGCGACTCTTTGGTCTATTGTGGGTCATACCTATTTGTATTTCCCGTAGTAGCTCCTGAGGAAGTCGATCTACCTGTTTGGAGAAATATCCTTCAGGTCTTCTGCTTGGATTACTACGTCTCCAAGTATGTTACTGTACTATACTGTACTATTTACTGTCATCTATAGATGACTTCTTCAAATACATACAGGTGGAGTTCTTACAGGGATGCCATCCACTCTTTGCGTAATCGCTGACGAACAGTGGTAGCTGACGATGGTGGTTATATTTTCAATATCAATTCGTATTTCATAAATAGATAAGATTTCTAAGCTACTACATATTATCTAACCCGATAGCAACTAATTAATTTTTAACTGGATCGAGTCAACCCTTCATTTCCTTGTATGAAGATGAGGAATCGAAAGTGCCCGACATAGCAGCTTAGCAGTGTGACAATACTTCAATCGCCTGGAAGTCGCGGGAAGCTTTTATTTCTCGTTTGTGTATCCCATCATACATTAAATAACTTGTATTTTTGCATTCTGTTACGGAATGTAAACGAAATTCATATAGACGGATCTTAGACTGATACTAATTTCCCGTTCTCCTTACAGGTGAGCATCCAACGGTCCCTGGACCGTGAAGACACCCCTCGCCATCAAGTAAAAATCCTGGCGATCGACGATGGCTACCCTCCGAAGACCGCCACTGCAACCCTTACGGTCATCGTCCAGGACATCAACGACAACGCCCCAACCTTCCTGAAGGACTACCGACCTGTGGTTCCTGAGCACGTTCCTCCCAGGAAGGTCGTGGAGCTGCTCGCCACCGATGATGATGATCGGAGTAAGAGTAATGGACCCCCGTTCCAATTCAGGCTGGACCCCAGTGCTAGCGACATTGTCAGGGCATCGTTCAAGGTCGAACAGGATCAGAGTGAGTATTTGCAGAGGATGTGCTCAGTTTTTCCAGGATACAAACATAGGTTGAAATAACCATCTAAGACACAGTAAATAGCGAGACCCCCTCCCCTCTTATAAATACCTAATTTGTTCAACCAATGCTGCGTGGTCCGGGAAAACACTGGTCAAATTCAGCAAAGAAGTCAGTATTGCTTAAGCATGGCAAATTTGACGCAACCACATCCAACTATTTATGGGGCACTTGAAAAATGAAATAATGTTTTGTCAAGCAATATTTTGTCTTTAAAGATATAAAACAAAAAATACGTTACCGATAGAATTGACCTTTTTTATTTAAGCGACGATGCCTCTTAAAAACACATGCTGTGATTGCTCAGGTTTTTTGGAATTGCCGTTATAGAAAAAGATTAATAGAAAAATGATTAAGGATATAATATGAAAATAAGATAAAATATCCCGAAATCATAAAAATTGAGAAGGTTATGAGACCTGTTGATTTGTTAGAATGCTCCATCAAACACTCGTAAAATTATTTTAAGTACACGATGACGTAATATTTTCCCTGCCGTTAAATGGATTAATTATTTCGGGAAAGAACTTTATACATTATAAGGGTCGCTTTTCACTAAAGGTTTCCTACATAAATTAGAACAAAGGACTCAGGGCTTGACGATTATGAGTGTTATAAGCTTTGTAGCTTAGGCTGAAAGCTCCAAGTTAGGTAGAGCTGCCAAAATTTAATTGGGGATAATAGCGTCGCAGCTGTTTGCAGGTCTGAGTTAGATTTTATAGACGTGCAGTGCTGAAGTTATTTGTGTCGTATCCTAGAAGCACGTCAATTTAATTTGACGAATTACAGAAAAAACTATTATGGGATTTGCCAAAATTTAAGTTTCACTAAAATGATCGATTCAAGTGGCACTTTTTTCCTACGAGAATTCCTAAAGAAAAACTTCCTAAGGACTCAACGGCTGGCGACAACGAATAGGTGAAGTTCGACAAGAATTAACTTTATAGAAAATCGACAATCTTCATACTTAACCCGTATTCAATTTTCCAGAGGGTGCAAATGGTGATGGAATGGCGATCATAACGTCCTTGCGATCATTCGACCGAGAGCAACAGAAAGAGTACTACATCCCCATAGTGATCAAAGACCATGGTAACCCCGCTATGACAGGTACCAGCACCCTGACTGTTGTCATCGGTGATGTCAATGACAACAAGATGCAACCTGGCTCCAAAGAGATATTTGTTTATAATTATCAGGTAAGATGATTGGCACTTCTAGAGACCAAATTATTCCCCAATACTAATTCCAAATTCAGGAATCCTAGTTGAAATGCCAAAGCACTCGAAGTGACGTACTTCCTCAATTTGTTCATCTCCTTCCTCCTTTTCTTTCTTCTTCCTTTCTTCCCTCCTGATTGACCGAGTCTGACAGATCTACTGATCTGCAAGGCTTTTAGCTAAAAGCCAAGGCATTTATGGACAATGCGTCACAGAAGATCTCACAACTTCAGAACCATTGATAATTAAAGCAGCGAAAATAGTTTTGCAATTCCAGCAATTATAATTTTGTATCAAAATTTTCTTACAGCTACATTTGTTACGTTTTTCAGGGCCAAGCTCCAGAAACCGAAATAGGAAGAGTTTACGTATACGACCTCGATGACTGGGACCTTCCAGATAAAAAGTTCTATTGGGAAGGAGCAGAACACCCAAGGTTCAAGTTGAATGAAGACACGGGTATGATATCCATGAAGCATGGCACAAAAGATGGAGTGTATCATCTGAAGTTCAAGGTATATACAGTAAATCATGATATATTATGTACAGTTTCTGTTCAAATTTATTATTGATACCCCAGGAAATTGCTTTTTAAAGTACGAAGTACGAATGTGGAAGGAGGCGTCAGAGCTTAATGACCCTCATTTGTCTGTTTCAGGTATATGATAGGAAGCACACCCAAACGGACGTTCCCGCCAATGTAACTGTCACAGTGAAGGAGATCCCCCACGAAGCTGTTGTGAACTCAGGATCTGTACGAATAGCCGACATCACAGATGAGGAGTTCATCAGGATATGGGACTACCACTCTCAGAGTCTGATGAAGAGCATGCTGGAACGATTCAGGGACAAGATCGCAGATTTGCTCAACATCAACAGAGAAAATGTTGACGTCTTCAGCGTACAACTGCGTAGGAAACATCCTCCTGTAACTGACGTCAGGTTCGCTGCGCATGGATCACCCTATTACAAACCGGTGAGTTGCGACATGATATATCCGGTTTTTGGATTAGGAACTAATTCTTTGAAAGTCAAAGAAATAAGTCATCCACATCAACAACTTCTTAAGAAGTGACGTCAAGCAATCTTACGATGCATCTTGCCTATAATCTTGTCAATATCTGAACTTTTCGGAATATTAATGCACATCGTAGAAATTGGGCATTTCCTAAAGATCATTAACGCATCGAAATTTATTTTAAAGGATCAAGAGCTCAAAAACTCGATCTAAATCTAATTTGCAAATTGATTCCATGATGCAGGGAAGTACGGGGCCATCTCTGTTTCTGACTCTATTAGCAGCCTTATATGTGACGCTTCATTTTTTAATATTTTCGAATGAAATTTTTGTAGTGTGCTGAAAACAAAACCCTGCAGAGTGCTATCGAGCCACTTTTTGATTTTTCCACTAGGCTCTTTTTTAAAAAAAATCACAAAGTTCAACAAAAAAAGTAAGCATTTCAACCCACCATAAACCTTGTGCAAAAACAAAATTTAGAAAAGTGCTCCGGTAGCACCTTGAACGTACTCTATGAATATAATTCAAAAATATTGAAAAGTGGAATGTCAGTTTCGGAACCCTTGTAAATGGCTTGAAACTTACTGCGTCGGAGCCGCCTTAAGTGTTGATCACCATAATCCATGAGACAGAGAATTACTCGATTAGCCTCACAAGTGCAACTTACGATGTATTTTGTATGGAGTTTTACCGGTTTCTAAAGGATTATGATCCAATATTCGGAATTGCATTCTAGAGTGTTATTCCTAAAGAAATGAAAGCCCTAAAATACGATCAAAATATCCCATTTGTGAAATTGCTCAATTCTGCAGAAACTACGAAGCTAACCTAAAATGTGTGCCGTATTCCTCTCTTCTTATAGTCCTGCAATATTGTGCGAAAACGGTTGTTTGTATAACCCTTCACACTAGATAAAAATGATGCTGTTTCTTAACAAATCTGTGGCGCAAGCTCCTTTTCTTGGGCGTACAATAACATAGTTGGGTGAAAATGCTGAGGTTAAAAAGAAAAACTGGTGCTTATATGTTTCGATCCACTAAGGGCCGTATCGTCAGTCGTTCCTACAATTGTAGGCCGCTTTTATGGCCCCCTTGATTTTCATAGTTTTCTGCTGTTCCGTGTTAGCGCTCTATTTTGAGGTTATGTTACAAATATCTGTTTGCATCAAATTGTTCAAGCTTTCAATTTATATCAGTCTGAAATTTATTAGGATTCAAAAGAAAGCATAGCCTCACAATAGGAAAGCGCTGACGCTGACACTGAACAGTATAAATCTATAAATACGGCAGTCCTTCTGAAGGATAAAAAATGCTATGAAAATCAAGAAGACCATGAAGGCATTCTTTTTGATTTAACTGACAATATAACAATGGCGCTTGACAACCAAAAAGCAGTTGCTCTTATACCTCTTGACTTTACTAAAGCATTTGACACAATTAGTAATTCACTTCTTGTGTCAAAATGCAGTTATTATGGGTTTTCTGGAAAACCTCTTTCGTTTATTCAAACCTACATTAAAAATCGGTATCAAAAAATTCGTCTAAATCAACAGTACTCTACCGCACAACAAATTGGTTCTGGTGTACCACAAGGATCTGCCTTAGGACCCCCTATCATTTTCATTATATATTTCAGATTTAGAAACAGCATACAATTTTTTGTCGACGATACTCAAATGTTCTGTTCATTTAGGAGTAATGACTTGGAATCAGCGAATAAGATCTTTCCCAAATTGAAAAGTTCAGTAGTAGTCATAATCTTCGTTTGAACCCTGTAAAGATAAATATGTTGACATAAGCAAATAAAACAAAAAGAAATGCTTTAAAAATGACAGACATAAATTTGAAAAGTAATAAATTAGTTCCTGTGAATCATTCGAAGAACCTAGGTATCATAATGGATGATGACTTAAAATTTATTGTACAGGTAAACTACCTAATTTCTCAGTGCTACGCTATTCTCAGTCTTATTTGCAAATAAGGCTAAATTGCTTAAATCTGCGAGGAAGCAGTTGCGTGAATCTTTCATGTTTGCAAAAATATCGTATTGCTTAGTGGTTTACTATCCCGATTTAGATATTAAAACAAGAAATCGTGTTCAAAGTATTATGAGTACATGTTGCAGCAGACTTGTAAATGATCATCAGAAAATCTGATGATCTGGATGAAAATTGATAAAATGTGTAAGTATCAGCTCCTAAGTTTGACTCATAAGGTTCCTTATTAAAAAAAACATCATATTTACTAAATTCATACGTAGAGGAAATATGCATGGCATTAATATTAGACAAAAGAGACTTTTCAATTCCACGCCACAGCACATCTCTATTTCAAAATCATATAATTCTTTAGATCGCAGTCTAAAAGAAACCACATCACTACCCAAATTCAAGAAAAAAGTAAAAGAAATTCTACTTGATCAGCAGCGAAATCTGTTGTAACCCATAAGAGGCATCATGTTTTCTTTATGCCTTTACATATATTATACTTTATTTTGTTGTTATTGTATGCAGGTATTAATTTTCAACAAATTTTCAGTTTGCATACATCTCGTATTGTTAAGGGGGTTAGATGGTAGAATAGATATAGTATCTAAATCTCGCTTCCTGTAATACTATTACAAATAAAACAGACGTTAATTATTATTATTATTATTAATTGTAGTAACGACTGACGATACGGCCATAAAGCAAGTACTGTGACTGTTACCTAAAAGGTAGCACATGCATACAACGCACGGCTTGAATGTGAGCCACTGTTCCAGCTGCACATGTTGAAATTACTCTTATTTATAATTTTTTTATTTGTTAGCAATTTGAGATATCGTTGTTATGCTGTATGCGTATTGTATGATACGAGATTTCTCTGTGAAAGCTGGTTCGACTGTATTCCTCATGCTCAGCTGGAAGTGTTCACTATATTGAGACACACTGTTTGCTTTATTTTGAATATTCTTCAGTTGACACATTTGTCTTCACCAGGTGCGGTTGAATGGTATCGTATTGATGCATCGTGAAGAAATCGAACGTGCTGTGGGCATTAACATCACCATGGTGGGCATAGATGAATGTCTGTACGAAAACCAGATGTGCGAAGGCTCTTGTACGAATACCCTAGACATTAGCGCTCTACCTTACATGGTCAACGCCAACAAAACAGCGTTGGTTGGAGTTAGAGTAGACGTCCTTGCGGAATGTACCTGTGGAGCTAGAAATTTCAGCAAGGAAGAAAACTGTAGGAATACCCCATGTTATAATGGAGGAAGATGCGTGGAAACTAGGTAAGACAAACTTAAGCCTTGGACAAAATTGAAGGAAAAAGTCTCAGATGAAATACTCGTTAGCTTCACGAGATCAAATTGGCAGTTTCAGTTATTCAAACAATTATTTTCAGATATTCACTATCCTGTTCATGTCCCGCCGGTTACAACGGTCCCAGATGTCAGCAGACATCGAGGAGTTTTCGAGGCAACGGTTGGGCTTGGTATCCGGCTTTGGAGATGTGCGACAAGTCACATCTTCATTTCGAGTTTATAACCAGGAAACCTGATGGGCTGTTACTGTACAATGGACCGATCGTACCCCCCGAAAAGGACGAGATTATGGTAAGCACTCCATTTATTTTTTGATCAACGATGTGTTGATTAGTAGTGGCCACTAATGCCATAGGCGGTGCCAAGATATATGAAATTACAAGAACCATTACAGTACGACACATTACATATGTCAATAGCGCTAACACTGTAAATCAGGCTGTCAGTGTCATAATATAGTACCTGTTGCATTACTTACATTTACAGTGGGAGAATTAGGAAAATAAATATAAAATACCAATATCATTTTTAATTTGTACTGAAGCTGAAACATCAGCAAAGACTTTATTTTACGACCAGAAAAATATAGAGTTATATCTATGTTTATTCTTGTGCTATTTTTTATTAACACATGCCGAACTATTGCAGGTATCTGACTACATAGCGGTCGAGCTGGAACGAGGATACCCAAGATTGCTGTTGGACTTTGGCTCTGGAACCCTAGAATTGAGGGTGAAGACCAAGAAGACGTTGGATGATGGGGAGTGGCATCGTTTGGACATCTTTTGGGATACTGAAAACGTTAGACTGGTTGTAGATTATTGTAAATCGGCCGATATATCAGAGGTAAGGAACATCCCGTGAAAAGATTAAGTGCCCTTCCAAAATCATGTTTCGTATTGCCTTCAAATGATTTTCTCTATTTTGTGTACTTTCTGGAGCTATTGCATCTTGTTATCAATTGAAGTAAGACGCCATTATTAAAAGGGATTTCTGGTGAATTGAAGCAAACGATTGTGTTTTCCTGGATAACGTGCCCCTTGTCCAATCCCACTTTAGTAAATTATGATCTTTGATTGCAGATGGAAGATGGTACGCCTCCGGAATTCGACGACAGCAGCTGTCAAGCTCAAGGTGCCATCCCTCCTTTTAACGAGTACCTGAACGTCAATGCTCCTCTTCAACTTGGCGGATTGTACGTGGAGCAGTTTGACCCCACTCACTATCATTGGCAGTACATGCCTGTAGGAAAGTCATTCGATGGCTGTATCAGAAATCTCTTCCACAATTCAAAACTGTACGATCTGGCGCATCCAGGGCTTTCGAGGCATAGTGTGCCAGGCTGCCCGCAGACTGAAGAGGTGTGCGGGAGGTCAGATGCCACATCCAGGTGCTGGGAGCATGGTACTTGCATTGGGAGTTTTAACGAAGCCAAGTGCCAATGTCAACCAGGGTAAGTACCACGGTTATACTATACGAGATTGAGTGTAAAGTAGGTGTGTGAAGCAGTATTTATTCTGAGCGGCTTCCTTGTTGGTAGTCGATTTACATTGATCATCGGTAAGAGGCGAATTGGGAACGATTCCGATAATGACGTAGTGTATGAGGCTTTCGTCACTTTCATTCGAATACACGGGTCAAAAAATGTACGCACTGGAACATTTTATTTCTTTGGTTTGGTTTTAAAATTAATGAGCAGTAATCAATACATGATTATTTGTAACCTCTCTCATCATATAACCAAAATTTGTTTCTTTCAGGTTCACAGGGCCGGCATGTACAATTCCCACAATTCCCACCTCGTTCAAACCTCAGTCCTACGTCAAATACGCTTTAAGTTTCGAACCTGACCGCTTCTCAACCCAGATCCAGTTACGCTTCAGGACCAGAGAGGAACATGGAGAACTCTTCAGGGTATCCGACCAACACAACAGGGAATACGCCATCATCGAAATAAAAGACTCCAGGCTCTACTTCCGGTATAACCTCAATTCCCTGAGGACCGAGGAGAAAGATATTTGGCTAAGTGCCGTGCCAGTTGATGATGGTCAATGGCATGTGGCTAGAGTTAGCAGGTGTGTACCACTTTAGTCTCTTATGCAGATATTACGATACTTAAGCGCATGGTAAGAATCAAGTACTTTGAACAGTTGAAGCAATATAATTGTGAATAAGATCCACTTCTTCCCAGGGGTGTCTGCAGGAATTTTCCTCCGGGGATTTGGTTAAACATCTGCAGGAAGAAACGTTGTATATCTTTCTTATGTATCAGCTCCCAAGAGTGGGTGGAGGAGGTTCTTTTTGGGTTGGGTGTTATTTCCAAGGTTATAAATGGACAAAGATTTTAATTTTGATGAGCTGTTCACCCCAATAGACGTCAAAACGTCATAAAGTGTCCTGAAAAATAGGTTACATTTTTACCAGAGATGACTTTTGACAGTTTGAACTCTAACCACACTAGCGCCGCCTAGCGGGAGCAAAATTGGTCAATGGTGCCGTACTACTGCACGTGTGCGCGGTAAGCCTCGTTAGCAGTGGCGTACGATCCGTTAACCTACTCTAATCCATTTTCATTGAAGTTTTTCCTGCTGCTTGGAGTACAACATGAGTTTTGGAGTTGAATTGATCCTGACATTGTACTGTTACAGATATGGTTCTGCGGCTGCATTGGAACTAGATGGAGGAGAGGGTAGACGATACAATGAAACATTCAACTTTGCTGGGCATCAGTGGCTGATCGTTGATAAGCAAGAAGGTGTATACGCGGGAGGAAAAGCGGAGTACACTGGTGTTAGGACGTTCGAAGTGTATGCTGACTACCAGAAAGGTATGTTAATAAAAAGTCACATGTATTGTATTTTCAGCTCAGGTAACTAACTAACTGATGTTCGCAATAGTTGCAATACATGGCATGTCCGAAACATTACAAATCCTTTTTTTTCCGACAAACATGTTGTCACACTGTAGGTCCTTGTAGTGTAGTGTATTAGCAGCTGGGAGAACGATTGGTCAGTTGTTTGGTTCAGACAATTCGTCAGTTCAGCCATGAATGAGCAACAAGTCCGTTCGTCCGTTGCACAGCGAATTTGAATAAATCTTTAACTAAGGTAGGCATTGAACCGTACGAAATTATGACTCGATTAAAGGCTCAGCATGGGGATGATATCCAGTCTAAAATTCAAGCGTTTCATTGGGCCAAAAAGTTTAATAGTAGACGAAAAATTATGGAGAATGTGAATCGTAGTCAACGTCAAAGATCAAATGCCGTTGATGACCACATTGCTCCAGTTCGTGACCTTCTTCGACGGCATCTGGGTGCTGCCAATTGATTTCCTACATAAACATATCACCCTCGTCAGAGATGACAATGCCAAGGCAACATACATCTGATATAACGGAGCGAAAACTGGAGCTTATGCATTGAAAAATTCTCGAGCAACCTTAATATAGTCCAGATTTGTCACCATGTGACCAATATATGTATTTATTTGCATCCACTATTCGTCATTTGTTTGTCTGGATGAATCCGTATGTCCAATGTACGTTGGTCGAATCTGTCCTGGTTGCCCAGAAACCAGACAATGCCAAGGAAAAAGAGAAAAGGCAAGAGAAGAATAAAGGAGAAGAGCGAAGAAAAACAGAAGTGTTTCAGTTTAAGAGGAAACACCTAGGCTTTTTAACTTGATACTCGGATTAGTTTTGAGGTGAACTAAAAAAAATTTTGATTCAGGTCTTGTTAGTGTGTAATTTTAAGTTTATTAACAGTTTTGGTCACAGTGCGAGACGTGGCCATCAATGTTTACGAACCTGCTCCACTGTGTAATCCACTGAGTCACGCAACAGGGTTGCTGTGCGATTCCGCTTGACTATAACGTCATTGCGCCTGAAGCTTGACATAATCCCTCAAGTAAGTAATGTCTAGGTCTCTGTGTAGTGTTTCATTTGAGACATACCATGGTACGTTGCAAATTGTTCCTAGAGACTGCATGTGTTTCTTGGCAAGAAAACACCAAGTCACACATACATAAGTAATGGCTGGTCTAATAATCATTGTATATTATTATATTATTATATTATTATATTATTGTTTGCGTCTATGAAAGGTGGACTTGAAGGGTTGAAATTCTACATCAATCAAGATGTTGAGAAATTGGTGCGCAATGAGTTGATGACTCAACCTTGAGGCTTCTTCGAGCCATGCATTTACAGGCTTCTCTAGAAAAAATGCATAGAGTGTGAAGAATATTATTATACCTAGGAACATAATGATAATTACGATAATACAAGGTTTTGTTTGACATAAATAGCATAACGAGTTTCAGTTTATTTATGGAAAATAGTAGTCTAACTTATACTAACTCTAGATTTTTTTTGAAAATGCAGAAATAATATTCATGAAAGATTGTAGTGCCGCCCATCGTAGGTACGTAAGTCGTAAGTCTATTTCGTGGAGCTGGTCCACAAGCTGAAATATGACAAAGAAAACAAAGGATCAGTACGAGTCGCTCTGATCGAGGGTAAACATTTTTAAACTAATAGAAAAATGGAAACATACAAAAACGATGTACGATATAATTTGCTACAATTGCCAAAAGGCATGGTTTGGTAAATTACGAGTTATATGCATACACAAATATTCTGCTTTAAATAATACTGTTATATAATATATACTAATTATTAACCAGCTCCTGTATCGCTACATATATCCAGCGTTTCTGTATACAGTCATTATACCAGAGCTGAAATTTCAAATAAATAGCTATCTGTCTTATCCACCCTACTTCCAACCTTATGTACGTACGTACGATATAGAGGAAAACGATAATGTGTAATAGACTGGGTAAGAAAATTCAATTGTATAACGAAATATCGATTGAAAGACGAAAAAAGGAGATAAGGCTTTGTGGAGTCGGATTCCTCGAGCCAATGAGAAAAAAACCTATTGTGAGTTTCGAGTGTACGTTCCTTTCCAGGGTAAACAGCTTTTATGCATAGGAAATGGTAAACACATATAATTGCGTATGAGTATCGATCTGTGTGTAAACAGCTACAGTACAGATATATAGAAAATACAAATATGTTTCAGAAATTGTATGTCATTTAAGACCGTGGCCTTTTTGTAGGCTTAAGGTAGGACAAGTCACATATTTTATTTTTATTGGCGATTATACATGAAGGGCACTGAAAACGTTTTGAGAGAATTCTAATTTAGTTGAAGCTGAAAAGATACTTGCTTCACATGTAACATAATAATATGTCGAAAGTGTTTCCAACAGTTCACTGGCGGCGCACAAATCAGCAAAAATTAATGAAATATTTAAGCTGCTATCATCACTGTTTTTTCGTATTCCATTCAAACTCTTGACATCTCTTATTCAGTTTTTAGATGAAGTCAAGAATTCTTTTGGGACGATTGAAGTTCTCAAAAAGAGTGAATCTGAAGCCTCCCTATGACCTGGAAAGTACCGCTGGGATTATGATCAAATATTGATACAAAGATGCCACTATGCTATGGACGAAAAAACTAAAAGTTTGTGGAAGTCCATACAGTGGAAAAAATGATTACCGACATGTATTACAGGGTTTTTAAATGGATCACGTCAGTCAAACAGGCCCATAGAATTATTTCAAAGACGTTTCTCTATAATTCCAAGTTTTAACGACAAATGTATGATGAGTGTGCCCAATAGGTTCATAGAATATACTAACGTCAAAGAATTCCCCTCACTCCCTACAACCCTCAATTACCGATTTCAATCCCCTTCAAAAATGTTTCCGAAAATGATCAGGAGCTTACGAAACATCGGAAAACTAAGTTTGGGTGATACTTATTTTGTCGTTTTTTTGTCCCGTACCTCACTGGCATTGGATCGATTATAAAAAAAAAACACAAGTTATACAGGATGTTCCTTAATGATATGCGAATATTTAAGGGTGTGAATCTACATGAAAAATTAATGTTAGTTTGATCTATAAACTATAGACCATAAATGTTCCCTTACAAAAACTCGGGGTGTTGAAGTTTTAGGAAAAAAATGGAAATTAATTAATATTTTCAGAACCGCTTCACATATCTCACTGATACTTAGTACGTAGTGAAACTTAATCAAGTTGCATATTTTTCCATGTAATTTTTTTTAGCTTTAACAGTGGCGTGCGTACGGATTTTGACTTCGATATTTTCAAGAAAGAAACGGTACGCCAATGTTTTTTTTGGCAAATTTGCGCCATTGTTGAGTAAAAAAATAAAAACCGTTCTATTGTCTAACATGCAAAATTAATTTAATTGGAAAAATTAAACACATTAGAGGAAATGAACAACAACAACTGACAACATAAACATAACATTGAAACCAACGAAACGATTACAAACATTGCAAAAAATGGCCCTTCACTTAGTATGCATGCTTCCGCCCTCCTTCTCATGGAATTGCGCACTCGTTGAAATATCCCTGGAGTGTCTTTTATTCTATTACAAGCTGCAACTATTCTTTCTATTAATTCCGCTACGGTGTTAATGGGGCTTGTGTACACTAGTGTCTTAAGATAGACCCACAAAAATAAATCTAAACTGTTGAGGCCTGAGGACCTTGGTGGCCATTCTTGGGGCCCACCGCGGCTAATCCAACGATTTGGATAAACAGTATGTAAATAATTACGAACCGCAACACTTAAATGCGCTGGTGCACATCATGCATGTACCATATATTGTTTCTTATTACTAACGGAACATCACTAAGCAGCAAAGGCAACTGTTGTTGAAGAAAATTGAGGTAAGTCTGTCTGTTAAGTCGTCCCGGCAAGAAGAATGGGCCAATAAATTGGTTGCCAATAATTCCTGCCTTTACGTTAACCGAAAATTGGTGTTGGAAATGGGTTTCGGTTACGGCATAGGGATTTTCTTCTGCCCACAAATGATTATTGTGGAAATTCTGAATGGCATTTCGAAAAAAATTAGCTTCGTCCGTGAACAGAATCATTGATTCAAATTGCGGATTGTGTAATTTTTGAAGATACCATTGACAAAAGGTCACACGCCTTTCAAAATTAATGGGAAGTAATGCCTGTACTCTTAAACTATAATTTAATAACAAATATTTAAGTATCTAGCGATCTTCCTCGTACTCGTTTCAGGATGTTCTTCGACTTCGTGCAGCAGTGCTTCCTCAATTTTAGGTGTTCTCACACTTAGAGGTCTACCTTCAGATGTTCCTTTTCGGACAGAACCAGTTTCAACAAGACGACGATGAATTATAAAAGGTTCGACTATCTGGCCAAGCACGATCGGGATATCTCTGATGATAAATCCGTCTGACCTGCTCTCCATTACCTTCGGCAAGGCCATATACGTAATGCATATCCGCCATTTCTGCATTTGAATAATTCACCATCATTATCAAGAGTGTAAAAACTAAATAATGAAAAAGATGTCACAGCGAACAGATTTGAATAACAGAGACTTATCAGATGTCAAAACCCTGTGACGTATTCCAGAGCAACAAGATATTTATTGCTAAATTGCATTCTTCAATTATTACATTAATTTTCTCGGACAATAGAACGGTTTTTTTTTTTACTCAAAAATGGCATATCGAAAGAAAACAATTCAAGACAGATCATTTGTGTTAAATTGAACGGGGAATTAAAAAATAATTTTTATTTGGTTACGAACCATTGGTGTACCATTTTTTTCTTAAAAAATATCGAAGTGAATACCCGTACGCATGCCACTGTTGAAGCCAAGAATTATTTTTGCGTTGAAAAATATGCAACTTCATTAACTTTCACTACGTATCAGTGAAATATACGTATCTGAAGCGGTTCTGAAAATATTAATTAATTTCCATTTTTTCCTAAAACTTCAACACCCCGAGTTTTTGTAAGGGAACATTTTTGGACCATAGTTTATAAAGCAAACTAACATTTTTTATGTAGATTCACACCCTTAAATATTCGCATAGCATTAAGGAATACCCTATATATTTTCGAAATGTTTAGCGATTATAATACATCTCGCCCATAGCCGTGGGCAATAAAATCGCTATAACCTCGTTTTTTGATATTCTATACACTCCTACTCATTTTAAAAATAAGGGGGGAATGTTGAAGGTAGTCGAGCAGGATATATCTCTAGGTTAAGCTATTTACACGTTTCTAACCCTAACACCTACTAAACATATTCCACTCATTATACCCTTGTAGTTGTCCTTAGTTATATTCTCAACACCCACGTCGAGCGCAATGAAAATAATAGTTGAACCTGTGGCAAGCGAGCCGCTGTTGCTGCTGACTTACTAATCACAACTCTGATCGCAACATTGTCAAATGGTTATTAGGTCAAATGAAAAATCAGGACCTCACATTACCAATTGAGAGAGCATTGGGCATTAATTGTATGGGCCTGATTGACTGATCGAGGCATAATATTTCATAAACAACGATGTAATGAAGAACATGGTCAGAAACAAAAAGGCGATTCGTAGAGGGCGGTAACCCTCAGTATGAAACAGAAAAGTGAACTTTTCTTATTTCTTTCAGGCTGCCTGGACGACATTCGGTTAGAAGGCAAGCATCTTCCCCTTCCACCTGCCATGAACGGCACTCAATGGGGCCAGGCTACGATGGCGAGGAATCTGGAACGAAACTGTCCATCGAACAAACCTTGCGCAAACGTAATCTGTCCTGATCCTTTTGAATGCGTCGATCTGTGGAATGACTATGAGTGCACGTAAGTTATAAGAGTTTTCCGCATGCTAGGTGGTTGTAAGTCAGTACGAGAATGAAAAGTATGCAGTCACTATTATACCGAGCACTTTTAAAAGGATCCAGTACTTCAATTTCAATTTGTTGGAATATTCTAATAATTTTCGTGTTCCATAAGAACCTGGCAAAAACAATTCATAAATAGAAAATGTGTTGTCTTAGCAAAAGTGGCGTGCGAAGCCTACTGATCCGCTAAAATATTTCATCTTAGCTAGAATGCAAAACGTCAATATATCTGTCACAATCTGACGAAACTGTTTCAAATACACCAGTGTCATTTATTATTGTATCAATAACTTCAGCACGGTTACTAGTAAGTTTTAACGAGATCATACATGGACATTGGATAGATCTAGATGAACATAAATGTATGGTCTGCTCGATCTCTTGACTTAAATCCTCCAGAATGTTCCTTGTGTGGAGTCATTTAAGGATAAAATATAGTTTGCGCAATTCCAGTAAAAAAGTTAAATTATATAATCGCTAGTTGCAACTCAATCAGACAACCATATTGGTGTATTTGGAAAAGGTCGACAGTCTACTAGCTAGAACTAGTCAATAGACCAGTTGTCAAGTTTGTTGTTAGAAAGATTCACAAATCAAAAAAATCTAGTTCGTGGAAAATATTTAATTTGGTAAAATACTGACTGCTTGTACTGACTTATTTATAGTTTCTTGCTGATGACAAATTAGTGACGTAACAGAAATATGGTGAGAGCTTCAGTTTAAGTCATTTTCGAAAATGGCTCAAATGGTTTCAGGATGTCCGAAGAGTTTTATACTAGCCCAATCCTATTTTGAGACGGAGCATGTAATTCTTTACGTCATTCATTGCGTTGTCCAAAGCTTTGTTTATCGATAACGTATGATTTATTAGGCTTATGTCTTCTTTATAAAATGAGCCAACTTTGTAGTTTCTTAAATACCTACTTCATCAATCTTACGTCTTAGTCTAATCATATTAGACAAAAAAACTCCTGGTTTGCGAAATAATTGTAAAGTCTGGTTTTATGGATGCAAGTTGTTCAAAAGGGTTTTAAATTATTGTCGCATAAAATGGGTACACCAATTTTTGTGGGAAAACTTTTTATTCGACAACAAAGAATGAAAAAACGTGTTTTTTGGGATTCAATTGAAAGTGTTGGCAGGAAAAAAACTCTTCAAATTAGATTTTTAGGTATTTGTGAGACCCACAGAATGAGACCACACGTAAAAAGATCCGACTGATATTAAAAAAGTTATGGCCGAAAACCGAGGCAAGATGCAGGTCTCAGCACTTGTTGGTAATGCGACGATAGTTTCACGCAGATACTTGAAATTCTTTAAATTTTTTTTTAAATAACGACATCAAAATTGGAGTCGATTGGTCAAGTAGTTTTTGAGAATTTCTGATTATTTATCTCCTTCGTTTTTCGCATAAAAATGACAATTATCTTTCGGAATGGTTTGTGATTCATGTCGGCAAGGTAAATCGTGTATTTCGCTAAAAATGCCCTTTGAACAAGCCATATATATTGCTCAGTAAACTAGTAGTCATGGCCGGAAGACAGGTGTCTTGGGATAAACAATTAGAAAATTTCAGAAACTACTTTACTAATCGACTCCAATTTTGTTGTGGTTATTTTGAAGTATGAAGCTTACGGATTTGAATAACTTTCAAGTAGATGCGTGAAATTATTTTCGCATTAGCAACAAGAGCCACAACCTGCATTTTCCCTCGGTTTTCGATATAACTTTTTACTATTAGTCGGATATTTTTACGTGTGGTCCCAATGGAAATACCTAAAAATCTTATTTGAAGAGTCTTTTTGGTTCCTGCCAAAACTTTCGATTAAATCCCAAAAACCACGTTTCCTCATTCTTTGTTGTGGAATAAAAAGTTTTCCTACAAAAATTGGTGTACCCATTTTATGCGTCCATGTTTTAAATACCCCTTGAACAACTTGCATGAATAAAACCAGGATTTACAATTACTTCTGGGGAATTTGCTAATATCTAGTACTTCAGTTAGCTAATTTCAAATGGTGGAAACAAGTCAAAAAAGCTTATAGTAGTGTCTTGATCGGTATAGATCAAGTAGAAAAGGAACACAGCTAATTTGTTTATTTTTCGTCTTCAATCTTGCATCATCCATTGCCCACACTAGAATTTTGTTAGCATGGTTTGTTAAAAAATATACTTTCTTCCCTTTTATACAAACATTGTATTAGGCATACTAATGCCCGGTTGCACCGCGCTTCTCAAATCTACCGCTAAGCAAATGTGATCCCAATGTTAAGGTCAACCTTAAATTACGTTTCTGTTACACTGCTCTGATTTTTCTAAAAGGTTAACTGTAGTAGCTTTTTCTCTGTCACATTTTGACCCAGTTTTCATTTTGTACTTTAGTAAGCGATCTTAATGGTAGTTGATGTACTTCATATCTGGGAACGTTATTACAGATACACGCTTAGTAATATCCTTTCCTTTTACAATTCAATCTTTTGTCGGGTGGTCAAAACCAAAGTACTTTTTCGAGTTAGGAAAACTCAAGCAGGGGAATCTTTCAACTTACATCATCCACAAAGTTTGACGTGTATCTAATGCAACAAGAATCTTGAAATTAAGAATAAACCAGCTTAAAGTCGACCTTAGCAAGGCGATGCAACCATATGAACTACATTGAAATTATCTGGCACAAGCCAAATGAATCACCTATCCTTTCGACAGTCCATTCTCTTCCCTTTTTGGCATATTCCATGGAACATGCTCATCATGACATTAATTAACTGGCATCGATGCACCAGATAATATGCATACAGAAACTAAGCTTAACCTCTGATATTTCCACTCTTGAAATTAATGTTGACTCCATACATTATCGTAATCAAGCTAGACCTCTGTTTACTCTCCCCTTTCTAATTAATACATCAAAAGGTGAAATTTCTCGTGACGGTGGTAAACTTGCAATTGGGAAATTTACACAGAAAACTTGATTTTTTTTCCCTTAGTATCCTTTGACCAGAGAAATTTCACTATTTGCCGTTTTAATTTCAGTCATTTCGTTTCCCATACCCTCACCATCCTTTTGGTATAAGATGCACCGAACAAATTTTGCATGTAATTGATATTAGTTGAAGATACAGGGCGTTTCTAAAACATGAACTGGAAATCAAGCTGCGTTTTGTCTTCTGACAATTTTCGAAATACAGGTGCTAAACGTAATTCCGTTTTCTAGTAAAAATCACTCATAGCCTTTGTTGGTCTTTGAAAAAATTGCTCAAAATGGCCGGATATAGACTCGTATCTCTTTGTCACGGGTTGTCGAGGACTTTCAAATTCATCAGGATTATTAGTTAGGTACTGAGGTACACCTAGCTACTTCAGTATGGTTAACTTTATTTATGGCATACTGGATTTTCGGATTGCACCCTCTTCAACATTATTGGGTTCTAGGAAGCGCTAGCCCCTTCTGAGCCTTTTCGAAAGGCCTAAGAATGTGACGAAAGTAATTATACTACTAACTTATTTTAATTAAATTTTGTGGGAAAGAAAAAAGCTCAATAAAACATACGTATTGTTAAGCATACAATAAGGTATTGGAGTTTTGCAATGAAACATCGTTTGCACGAGTTGTAGTTGTATATTTAACTTATTTTAATTAAATTTTGTGAATAAGGAAGAACCTCAATAAAACACGCAGCTAGCGTATTGTTAAACATACAATAAAGTATTGGAGTTTTGCAATGAAACGTCGGTTGCAGGAGTTGTAGTTGTATATTTTTGCAGTACTTGTGTCTCTATCAAAGCTCTTCCTACAACTCCATACTTTAGTGTACCCTACTGTAAAAATATCTTAAAAATTGTATAATTGCTGAATGTAAGAAGAAGTGATCCCGGTTATTTGAGGCATTACTGGTTGGGGGGGCTATATTGAACCTTTTGGAAAATTATGAAACCCGACTTGTGGTTTTTGCTGCCAAAATATGTTATTTTGCAATTCTGACTCGTCGGTAACAGAGCTGTATTTCGAAAGTCATCAAAATCGAAGACATTCCGAAGTAGTCGAAAGAGTCATTTTTTTAATGTTTGTACCATATTTTGGAAACACCATGTATATCAACCTACCTACCAACCTACCTACATCCTACATATCTTGGATTTAAGATCCACTCACTATGAAAGTAGTTCCTTTTTTAACACAGCAAAATATTTCATTTGCTAGGGCACTGAATTATTTATATACTTTAATATTTTATTGTAGTTTATATATTTGATTACATCTATTGTACTGCTATGAGTTATTTGATTTTGCTTCGTTACCAGCTTTGTGTTTTGGTTAGAGTGTACTGACGTCGAATATATCGTCTCCAGAAAGTTTATTAACATGTTGGAAAATAACGCGGAATCGAGATTCATATCTAGGAAAGTGTATGCATTCTCAATGTGCAGTTATCAGACGCTTCTACTAGTAATAATATAAGCCAGTCTACATTTCTCAAACATGTAAATGTTTATCATATTCTATTCACAAAAAGCGTTCTTCGAAACTCTAACTACTGTAGTAGTAGCAGTAGGAACAGTGGAGAGGCGAAGCTTGGCGAACAGACTACATTTGGCCCTTTTTTGCGATGCCATATTGACCAGCACTCAAATACATCCTTTTCTAATATCGTGATCGATTTTACCTGACTTCGTAGTAATCATTAGGATATCCGACCATTCTGTTGAAGAAAACTTTCCACTATCTGTTTTGTTAAGCTGCCCCTGGATAAGGCATGATCTCTTCGTACTCTGATGAGGATCACTAACTATTTAGTTTGATAATACCAACCTGAATACTGTCCTTCTATTCATCAGATATATCGTCTGGTGTTGATCAGGACCAGCTATAAACTTACATGTTTAGAAACCTTTTAGCCTTTCTTTGGGCATTTCTCCCTCTACATTATGCCCAAACGCCCACGGTAATGGCAATTTGCTATC